AAACTGATGAGAAATCAGATAATTGACGAAAAACTGTCAAAAATCAGTAAAAACAGTCAAAACTGTTGAAAACAGTTAAAAACTGTTCAAAACAGTTAAAGACAGTTAAAACTGATGAAAAACAGTTTACACGACGGAAAATAGTTCAAAACTTTCTCAACCAGTTAAAAACACAAAAACCAAAACAGATAAACGAAATGATCCAAAATTAAAATCTAAACAAAAATTAAAACTCAAAGACGAAAAACACAAAAAAAAATCGAAGATGAAACAAGCCCAAATACAAGGATATCTAATGATCCTATGACCAAGTTACAACAAAACCGGATAAAAGATCTCTGTTTACAATCTCAACATTGCTAAAAAAAATATTCCCAAATTCTGTTTACAATCGGACAACTTCAAAACTTGAGTAAGATTGAGAGCAATTCTCTTGTAAATTCACACGCTCCTTTGCAACTCCTTTTTCTAATTTCCCTCACCACTAGATGCAGACCCTGGATGGTATCTAGCTTTAGCAACAAGCTCAATATAGTCTCATCATCCCCTGTGAAATCAGTACAACRAGGTCAAGAAAGTTCAGTGAGACGAAAAATCAGTAAATAACCTGTCGAGCCAAACAATTTACAAAACTTGTCAAGCCAGGCAATTTACAAAAGTTTGTGTGAAAGCAGCAATAATCAAAAACCCATTACCTTGAAGCCTGGTGAAGAATTGAAAGTGAGACAAAAATATTCCAAGCTGTGATGTGAGGTTCAAATATATCAGCTACTGCCACTTGAACATCTGGGCACTTGAGTGCTATGACAGCAACTTTGAAAAACAGTTTAAATTCTGCTCACTCAAACAGTCTCTAAACAACTCACTAAACAATCTCTAATCAGTTCAACAACCAGATTCTAAACTGCTCACTAAACAGTCTATGTCGCTCAAAGCAAGATGTAAATCAGGTCAACAAACAGTCTCTAAATCACACCACCACTAAACTGTTCTAATTCGGTCAAAACATTGTCTTAAATCAATCATAATGAATCTGTAAATCACTCACAATGAGACTGTAAATCAATCAAGAACCAGCCTAAATTGCTCAAGCTTAACAGTCTTTGAATACTATCAAGTCCGCTCAAAACACACAGCTTAACAGGTCATAATACGGTCAATACACAACTTGAGATTTACACTTCACAAATACAAACCAGATGAGAGAATTCAAGACTGTTTCAGCAAATCCCTGGATAGAATGAGATACTATCAACAAACAGTTTACTGCATCAACAAACAATCTTCCACACAACAGCCTTTGCCACTGCCAGCTGCTAAGTAGAATTCGAGTGAAGTTGTCAGATGATTGATGAAGCAAAGAACTACAATACTGAGTCTAATCAAAACAGTGTTCAGATATCTGTATTCAGCAAATCCAAAATCCAAATTCAATTTATTCAAGTCCAGTCAAGAATTCACCACAAATCATTTTGTTGCCCAAATCCAATATCTAAACAAACATGACAGAATCTAATTCGAACAAAAACTATAGCATGAGATTGAGCGATTTCTTAAATCGCACACAGAATCTGAGCAATTTAAAATAAATCGATCAAAGAAACCAAGTAAAATCTGTTCAAATGGCTTGCAAAATCAGTCAAAAATGGGAGCGATATATGAATCCTCTTGAATCAACAAACTCAGATAACCTTAAATCAAACGATTTAGCAAAATTAGGTCAAGAAGCAATGAACGATAAAGAATCTTGTGAGATGGATTGAACGATTTATTAAACCGGATACTTTGATGTACAAAATGCTAAGTCCTAAATYGGTTGATGMGTGTGAGCGACTTACCTGAGCRATTTAGAATCCGATCAATCCAATCGATTTATCAATMTATCCGGTTAAGAGTTGTGCGATGAAAACCTTAAATCGATCAAGGTATCTGCGATTTACCAAATCAGATCAAGAAGTTAGCTTAATCTTGGAGAGTTGGATTGACCAATTAAGAATCCGGTCACTTATCCGGTCACGAGTTGATCGAATCCGGACACTTATCCGGTCAAGAATTGTACGATGTAACCTTAGTCCGCTCAATTCTTCAACGATTTAATCCCTTGTCCTTTCAAAATTTCATCGATTTACTCTCTAAATTGTTTATGCTGATTGATTTAAACCTGTTGGGCCTTGAAGAAATAGATGTAGACGATTTAGTCTCCGGTTGGGCTTTGGGCTTGAAAGAATTAACACAAAAATATTCAAAACAAAAACCAAAAACAGATCAAAAACTCAAAAACAGAAAAATTTTAACAAAAAATTGGATAAAAAACACTGACTTTAAAAAAATCAAGAACACAAAAAAATTTAAAAAAAACACAAAATTAAACAGATCACAAAATCAAATGATCAAACCATGAAATCACGTGAATAACAAAGATTCACGATTCTAAAACGCACACTTTGATCACGGTTTTAACACCAAAACTCAAAATTTTGAAAAGATTTTGGATCAAACTCTAAAAAAAATTAAGAACAAGATGAACACACTATGAACATAAGAAAAATTTCCAGAAACTTCTTCAAAAATTCTTGAAATTCGTTGATTTCTTCTTCTGATTTCTTGCATAACTTGCTTTGATACCAATTGTGTGTCCCACTTTTAATGATCAATCTTCATGAAAGCTCCATAACAATGGCAGATCTGATATAAACATTCAAGAACATCATATGATGAATAGAGAGACAAAGTCAACACCA